GAAAATTAAATAACAAATTTTAAACTTTAATTCGACAAAAAACGTGGGCTTTGTGTATTCTCCAAAGGATTTACAGCGAGATGGGCGCTGTTTTCAGGCACTCACTGAGGGAAGCTTGAATTTCTGCTGCGTGAGGCAAAATACGCCTATAATAATTTACAATACCGAGGAAGCGGCGCGAGTCAACAACTGTTTGAGGCTTTGGATAACTTTTTCCTCAGGAGGCTGGTAACAATGCTGGCTCACAGAATAGCCTAAGTAGACTACTTCACTTCCACCGATATGGAATTTTTTCATGTTGATTTTTAAGCGAAAGTCTCCTGCAGTGCGCCAGCCACCGGACTCTTTGGGCATCATGTGGATGGGACTTGTCCATTGATTGCGTGTTATGACACCATGATGCAGCAACAGATTAAAATCTTCTTTTGCGGCGTTTAACTTCTCACCAGTGAGTTTGCGTGGGCGCTCGTGGACTGGGGGACCATTGGTGACAATGTGGTGTACGGTTGTTTCACTATCGACATTTGGTGCAGCATCACGTAGTGTGATCTCTATGTAATCCTTCAACAGGTTAGCTTAGAATGCGTCTGACTTGCTTTTGGACAAATTCGACGTAGGGTGCACAATTGTCGCGATGCTGTCAATTTGTATAAATTTATACCAAACTCGGTGCACTTAATTATCTTGGTATAGAAAAGCAACACGTTTAAAATACGAAAACTCCGACGTTTCAGTAATTGTGGACCCTAATTTACTCCAAGTTAATACTTACAACATGCATTTAACAATAAATAAGACTGTTATATTACTGTAATTATTACAAAAATGTAGTTTTATTACATTTTCTTACTTTTACTGTGATACATATTTGAATTATCTAATTCCCTAAATTAAAGTGGAATCTGATTTTTTTAACCGGTGACCACCCTGGGAGGTTGCTAAAAGTAAAGCGTTTTCAAAACCATTTCCGATGCCCATATTGCAGCAATGCATTTAATCTTCCAACCTAGATACGAACACGTACGTATGCGTCCTCCTACAATCGGACCACGGCAACATGGAGTCTATCGATGTCAAACGTTAAGTTTCTTGTTTCTTGTTTGTTTGTAACTATTTATATGCAAAATTTGATATGAATAATAGTACCAAATTTCGTACTACTTCGCAAAGCGGGCTTGTTTTCTTCCCGTTTCTCTCGTGCTTCCATATTACAACCTTTTGTAAGGGAGCCGTCGACATGAGCTGTCACTACGTACAACACCTTGTATAATTCCACCATGGAACAACTGACAAAGAAATTTTCTTGTGTCAAATTTCCTTAAGGAATTTTCTACGCTTTCTACTACAGTTTCATAAAGTTTTTTGCAACAGAAATATATGCCCATTATTTCGTGAGTGTGAGACAATAGGCTGTGAAATATCAGATATCGAAATTTCTTAGACACTACTATTCCCGGGAACGAAACTTTTTTTCTTTCCTGACTGTTTGCTTAGAACCTGGATACTAATCTTGAGAATGCAACAAACTAAAGTTTAATCGCTTTGAAATGAAGATAAAAGTGATAAGGGAGTCCTATGAATTCGTTAGTCGTTATATTTCCAAAATTCATGTTATTTCATTTTTTGTCGCTTTATCTTTGAGTCGTAAAAGCCACTTGAGTGGAGATAACATTGCTAAATATTCTGAAAACCATGGCAGTGTTTTAAGCCTTTATATTTAGGGAGAGTCGAAACGACGCATATGGGTGAGAGTGGCGAGAGCTAAGAGGGGAAGTTGTTACTAATTGCTATACGAACAGCTGCAGGGAATCTCCCATTATTCCTCGCTTTTTTAACAAGGCTACAAATAACAGAAAAAGACAGTCCGATACCTCGCCAACGACAACACCAACCGAAATAATACTGACCTATGAGCAGGGACCGTAACAGTTACAACTTTTATTAAAAAAATCGGTCTTTAACAAATATTTTTGACTTATATTTAATTAGTCCTTAAATAAATGTTATTTCCGACATTTATTTTAAAAATCCAAAATAACAATTATTTTTGATTTTTATCTAAATAATCTGCAAATAACAGTTATCTTTGATTTTTAAATTATATGTCTTAGAAACAGTTATCGAAGACTTTTATTTATAAAAGTCATAAATGAAAATCAGTCACTGAGCTTTATTTTTTAAATCATACTTATAAAAGTAATTTGTACAAGTCGTAGTAAACTTTTGTTCCCCAACACCTTCTTAATTGCGAAAAATGTGAATGACTTTTATACAATTGATTTAAAAAATAAAAGTCTTCAATAACTGTTGTATATGACATATAACATAAAAATTAAAAATTTTATTTTGGATTTATAATATAAAAATTAAAAATAATTGTTATTTTTTAGTTTTGCATTAAATTTGCAAATAAAAATTTATATTCAAATTTAAATCTCGGCGAAAAAGAAATCGATTGGTATGTATCACTTAGTTGTATAACATTTCCTTTATAGTGAATTTTTCCATGACAGTTTTCATCAATAACTGTTATGTTCGGTCCCTGCCTATGAGCCTTATGTCATTTCTACTAAAAAGGACTTCAGAGTCTCACAATCAAATGAAAAGTCCTTGTAGAAAAAAGGGAGGGGGCGGTAGGTTGCTTCCTGAACATAAGGAGCGCTTCCGATAACCCAGAACATACTCTAACATAAAAACGCTTCCGGCGCAAATGGGTTAAAGTTGCTACATGCCAACGGATACCAAGTATAAAACCATTAAATAAACTCTAGGACAGGAGGGGTCAAAGCTACGAAGGGTGCCCCAAAGTATCTCTTACTGCAATGATGCACTTAAAAAAGGGTTCAAATTTAACGCTCAAATGACTAGCATAGCTATTTTCTCCAAGAAAGCAAAAAGGACAAATTCCTAAAACCATTCCTTCAAGAAGAAAATAGGCATAATTACAAGAACTCGCCTGCGTGTGCATCAATGAGGGCAACATCAGCCGCCGTTCTCGAGGCGTTTCCAAGCCTGTCTCCTCTGAAGGAGGCTTTTAATTAAATGGTTATGCAAACTAATATCGCAATTGGCGCAAATATTTGCATTTCAGGCTGCTCTAGGATGGCGCGTTAAAGACGAGTCCACAGGGAACTCAACAATAGTTTACAAATGTGGTGGCACTATATACGATCGTGGTTATGTGATTACAGCGGCACATTGTCTATATTATTCAGCGTATGTTAAAAAAATACTATTATTTTTGTACTCCTTAATTTTCATTTTGAACAAATTTGAAAAAAAAAACCTTAGCGATCTACCCATCGTTGTGCGACCTGGTGGGTTCGCCTTAAATGACACTGAAGCATGGGACCTGGAAGTTGAAGATGTCATAGAGCATCCCAACTATGAATATCCATCTGTTTACAATGATATTGCTGTTATACGCTTGAAGACAATATTTAAGTGAGTAGAAAGACGTTTGTGGGATAAATTGAAAATTTTTTCAACTGAAATTTTGTTTTAATTTTTTCAATACACTTCAAAGTGGCAATCCCTTCCATGATGCACCAGCATGTCTTTGGGCAAAGCCAAGTTTGGAAGAAAATGTTACAGCAATCGGTTATGGAGACACACAATTTGGTATGTACATACATATGTACATACATAAATACATATAGCGAATTTTCACTAGCCCTTAAAACTGCAAAAAATGTATTGAGAAATTTTTGCATTAAAAACAATTACTTCATTTATGCAATCGAAGTAGTCACTGCTTAAAGAAAAGTAATATGCAGTAGTAGTAACTTCAAGAAATCCAGCATTGTAGCATTAACCCCTTAACCCTCTTTTCAGGCGGCGTCTCCTCTCCACTATTATTAAAGACCAATTTAACAACAATCAACAATCGTGAGTGTGAATCGTTTTATGACCCGGATAGTGGTGCTCTAACTGAAGGAATTAGATCGACTCAGATCTGTGCAAGCGATCCCGAGAAACTGCGTGACACATGCCAAGTAAGAGCATGAAAATAGCTTGAAATTTTTGTGAAATACATACTTACATACATTATCATTCAAAATACCTTTCATTTACAGGGCGACTCTGGCGGCCCAATTATAAAGTTTGTGCAAATGGAGGGTCTTAATTTAATGTCTTATTTGGTTGGCGTAACATCCTTTGGCATCGGTTGTGGCACTGGTACCCCAAGTGTTTATACGCGCATATCTGAATATATTGATTGGATTGAGAAGGTCACTTATGGAACTGTGGCGAGCTGAATATGTACATATGTATATACTTCTACTGACGAAAGACAAAATAAAGCTATAAGACACATTTAATGGACAACAACAGTGTTGATAAAAAATATATGCATAAAAATAAATAAAGTTAAAATTAAAAGTTTTCTTTTAAAAAGAATATAATCTACAAATTAAAGGAAAGAAAAATTAAAAAAAAAAATAATAATTTTTAATCAAAAAGCACAACTGACTTCAATTCTCATAAAAATAAATGCGTAACACCGTCAGCATAAATTCCACAACTCAAAGCCCAATCTTGCACTTTATTATATTTACTCAAATTGTATGGGCTACAAAACTGCACACTCAAAATCTTTCTAGAAAGTATTAAAAAAAGAAAATGCATATAAAAGAACTATAATTAGAGAGATTTCAAAATCGAGAAGCTAATTTTTTCGCCCCACACTAATAACCTATATTTAATTATCGATAACGCAAACCTCCGGACTAGTTACCATAACCATGCAGGTATTGCTATAAATACTGAAAACAAGTCCTTTTTTGTGCATTTATTTTGCAATCAACCAGTTCGTAAGCAATTCTCATCACAATTTTTTTTTTTACTTACAAGCTTAACTCTCTTATTTATAGCTGATTAGCATATATTAAATTTCGGATTTAGTAAACATACATTTGTATGTGTATGCATTTAACTCTTAGTTCTCTGATTCTGCTGCTCATAACAAGTAGCCAAGTAATTAGGGAACAGAACGCAATTTTACATTCAAGTTTTGTTTTCGCAACAAAGTAGTCAACATTTTGAGGGAAGATGATGCGCTTACGTGCGAACTCAAGCCGCCTGACAATTTTTATAAGCTTTCAAATACTAATACTGGGTAAATAATTACTATGGATAAACATAAAAAATATAAACTTTTACAGCCATATCGCTTACAAGTTTGATTGTCTTGTGCCGTTTCAGCGGTGTTTCTAGAAAAGCTACCGTTAACCGAAGGCTGTTATAAAGCCCAGGAATGTTATACACCGCTCAATGTTATAGGCTTTTATTATACAAAAGAGGATATGCAAAGATTAACCGAAAAACAGAAAGCCCAATGTGAGGGGCATTGTCAGGATGGTAATAATACGCTTACTTGTTGCACATTTGGAGGCAGGCCAGAAAAGCATCGTTTACTTTACCAATGTAAGTACCCAAAAATTTGTTTAGTTAAACTTTTTTTTCAATCACATAAAAGAAAATCTTACTGCTTGTAGTCACTACACGCGGAAGAAGTGAAACTTAATAAAGGAAATTACAGAAAGGAAGAAGTTCGCAATATATTTCCCAATATATACCTTCGCCATGGCATTAAATATTTAACGCAAACATATCCGCAGCCAAATTAAAAGTTTGAACTTTAATTTTTGAGAAGGTGGCCACCATCTTAAAAACCTCAAAAATATTTTAGTTGTTCCAACTAAAAATTGCCTAAAACGCTTTCGTTTGATATTAAAATTTTAATATTTCATGTACACAGCTTCTGAAAAATTTATCTGAATTTCACTTTTCAAACGGGTGGCAACCCTATTCAAATGTATATACATTAGCTTGCATCACTCCCCATAAAAAAAAAATATAAAAATCGGTATTGCGTTTCCATTGGTATTATAAAATCTACTGTATTTTAAGACGTCCATCAAAATATTTCGGAAAAATATTAAAATTTACGTGAGCTGGACCGATTTGGATTTTAAGAATAAAAATAGTTTCCTAAAGATGTTTTTTGAAAAAATCTCTCAAATGACAAAACGGTTTAAGCTTAAAAAATTTGCATAAAATATTTTTAATAAATTTAAAAAAATTTTGAACGGAATCGTAATAATGAGATTTTTGATGCTGTTTGTTTTACTTTTTTCAAAGATTGGTATAAGAAAAACTTGCAATAACTGAACTTAAGCTCTACCGATTTAGACTTGTGAGGTATCATTGGAAAGGTATTTTCTCACCCTTTTTATTTCTTTGCTAAGAATCTCATTCAAAGGATGAAAGAGAAAGGAAGAATGAACGAACATCATTCAAAGTTGAATTAGGATGTGTTGGTATTTGAAAAAAAAAATTAGGACACGAATGACTTTTTTTTTGCACATAAATAAAAATAATAGGAAAATACCTTTCTGCTGAGATCCCATAAGTCTAAATCAGAATAGCTTTCGCCCAGTTATTCAAGTTTTTCGTAAATCAATCTTCGAAAAAAAGTAAAAAAAAAACAGCATCAAAAATCTCATGATAACATTCCGTTCAAAAGTTTTTTAAATATTTGTATGCAGATTTTTTAAGCCTAATCTGTTTTGTCATCTGAGGGGACTTTTTTCAAAAAGTTCTTTAAGAAACTATTTTTATTTATAAAAAACTCCATTTTTGGAGGTATCTTCAAATCGGTCCAGCTCACGTAAATCTTAAAAAATTTTCGAAATATTTTGGTGGACGTCCTAAAATATAATACATTTTGTAATCCCGGCGGAAAAACCGCAACTTTTTGAGTGATGCAGTCTAATGTACATATGTATATCAACTAACTGACGAATTAAGTTAAATTTGACTATTTGAACAGGAGGCAGACTCCTTCATTTTGTTAAAAAATTAAGCTTTTTCAAAGCCACTTCGATTGATACTCAAATGAATTAACTAATTTTACTTATTAAACAATTTGAATTATTTTAATTTAATATTCTAGTAGGTGGCAAAAAAAACTAAAACCATATTGCACAAGTACAGGTTAAACGATACAGATCTGATGACATGACAAACATTTAACGCAAACATCTCCGAACTCTACTAGTACTTACTACCCAGCAAGTTCTACCCATCCGAACTCGATTAAGAAGTTTCACTTTAAAAACGGACTTATACCATTTTCATAAATAACAGCTCATATATTTACATATACATATATAATATATTCATAATAAATAAGCCTACAGCCTGCTTAGATGCCCATTTGCCCTCTGGATTTATAACATTTGGTGTGGTGGCGGAGCCCAACGAATTTCCATACATGGTGAGTGGTTTAAAATAAACTAAAATACTAAATAGCTGGCTCTAACAAAATATTCGTGGTAGTAATTTAAGATACAAAAGTGTTGTTCTTTGTATGCAGGCTTCTATAGGTTGGCGAGTTCGAGATCAAAATGGTACGGAGAGCATAGCTTACAGATGCGGTGGAACATTAATCGACAGCAGATATTTGCTAACAGCTGCGCACTGTCTCTACCACTCTAGGTAAATACTTAGGCGAATTTCAAAATAACAAACACCTCTGTAGTTACATACATAATATTACTGTTATTCTTTCGCGCAAGTGATCCGCCTGTTGTGGTGCGTCCAGGCGGATTCGATTTGAATAGTAACAATGCGACTGATTATGATATCGATCAGATTATTGAACATCCAAATTATGAATACCCAGCAGTTTACAATGACATAGCGCTTATTCGCATAACAAAAGTATTTCTGTAAGATCTGCTGGAGGTATTTACCAATCGTGTGAATAATAAAATTTCCTTTGTAGTAGCGACTCGCCCATCGTGGCTAGAGCTTGCATCTGGCATGGGTCATTGGCAGAGGAGAAGGTAACGGCTATAGGTTATGGGGATACACAATTCGGTAAGGTTTGAGAACGTATTTTATTTAATTATATTATTTCTCTCTCTCTCTCTCTCTCTCTACACCACTCACTGTTTCCCGAAGCTGGTGCATCGTCGCCACTCTTAATGAAAACGAGTTTGTTTGCAATTACGAACGAAGAATGTAGTACGTATTACGAACAGGATGAAGACTTACTGAGTTCAGGAGTAATAGCTACACAGCTGTGCGCCAAGGATCATGCAAAGTTACGAGACACTTGTCAGGTGAGAGCTAAAAAAAATGTCCTTTGAAATAGCGAACTTGGTGTTACCTACCTCTTACAATTTTCCAAATTCTGAAGAAGTGGCGTTCCTAGTACCAATATGGCTTAGAAGGCCTCTAAGATTTATTTTAACAAAAAGCTCTATAATTTCAAATCTAAAAATTTTATTATTTAAGGGAGACTCCGGCGGCCCGCTTATAAGATATGAAAATATAGAAGATTACAATCGGATAGCTTATATTGTGGGCGTAACTTCTTTCGGCATCGGATGTGGTACTGGCACTCCCGGAATTTACACACGCGTTTCTGAATATTTTGATTGGATCGAGGAACAGGTTTATAAATAGATATATATTTGCTTAAGCTCTCACATTCATAACTAGTACTTTTACAATATGCATATGTAAAAATGATAAAATATAATCAAAGTGGGAAACGTACTGAGTACTAAGATCTTGTTGACGAATTCTTCTGTGCCTTGTAGTATTTTGAAACAATAAATGTATCTAATTCATCAATACTTGATTATTTTTTGCAAGTATTGAAATTTAAGGAAAGAGTGTAAAAATATGACTATGAAATTTTCAAAGTCATAAGGGATCAAAATTTGCGCGAGTTAGTAATCAAATAAGCCAAATATTGAAGATTTCCAAAAATCTGGTGTCAAGGGCATTGATTTTCAAAAATAGCCACGTTGCGACATTAGGCGCACAGCGGTAACACTGGTTCTAGTAATAATAAATTATAAGAGAGTTAACTTTCTATGTATGCGTGACCGAAGTCATACCGCAATTTTCTCCGTCTGAAATTACTGGGGTAAAATTCTACCCTTTCCCCTCTCCCGTCCATAAAAACTCGAGTGCGCAGACTCATTAATTTCATGAAGTAATATATGTATATTATATTTATCCTTATCCTCATTACTTTTTTATTTATCCATCGACTTTCTTCATTAGTAACTTGATTTTTTTGTGATAGAACGCGATTTAGCCCAAAGGCATAAGTTTTACACAAAAGATGTTATTTTTTTTTTTTTTCTCCGGTTAAAGTGTTTTTTTCATATTTTCATTAAAAAATAAATAAAAAACCTGGAATGATTAATTAATTTGTCGGAAACTATCAGACCTATCGAAAAATGATGTACATATACATATACGGTCTATGTAGTATTTTATTAGATTTCGTTTGCCGTATTTCATATTAAGATTGTTAAATTGTTAAAATAAAATAATTTAAAACTTTCGTGAACTTGTAACATTCTCCGAGATTTTGGCAGAGCGTCTATAGTCGCATTTTTGATAAATTGTATTCTAAACTTCAAATGCGGTTTCCCGAAACCTGCCGAAAATAGCATACGCCAGTCTTTTAGCCAGGCGACGAAATGTATGTACATACATATGTATATACTACATACGTTTACAAAATAAATATATTTAATTATCGATAACGCAAGTCTCGCGCGTCAGTTACCATAATCATCCAGGTACTGCAATAAATACTGAGAAATTCTTATTTGTGCATTTATTTTGCAATAAACCAGTTCGTAAGCAATTCTCATCACATTTTTTTTTTTTTTACTTACAAGCTTAACTCTCTTATTTATAGCTGATTAGCATATATTAAATTTCGGATTTAGTAAACATACATTTGTATGTGTATGCAATTAACTCTCAGTTCGCTACTCATAACCAGCGTTGCCATTTTAGCCGTTTTCCGGCTAGATTTAGCCGGTTTTGATAGCAACTAGCCGGAGAAAATTCGATCTAGCCGGCAGCCGATTTGTTAGCCGGTTTGTAAAAAAAA